GAACCGGGATTCGAACCAACAATCATAGGTTTCTGGCGTGTCCAGGGACGCAACGCTGCACAGCGAATCGCGGCGCCTTAGACGACTGGGCCACCCGTGCCCCCTAGTGGTTTAGAAGAAGGAGTCGTCTGAAGAAATTGTGCAACACGTGCCACAACACATTGAACCAGACCAATCAGCGCCCCGATAACATCCCACAATGAGCGCCCCGATAACATCCCACAATGAGCGCCCCGATAACATCCCACAATCAGCGCAACACGTGCCACAACACATTGAACCAGACCAATCAGCGCCCCGATAACATCCCACAAACAGTGCAACACGTGCCACAACACATTGAACCAGACCAATCAGCGCCCCGATAACATCCCACAAACAGTGCAACACGTGCCACAACACACTGAACCAGACCAATGCGCGCCCCGATAACATCCCACAAACAGTGCAACACGTGCCACAACACATTGAACCAGACCAATCAGCGCCCCGATAACATCCCACAAACAGTGCAACACGTGCCACAACACATTGAACCAGACCAATGAGCGCCCCGATAACATCCCACAAACAGCGCAACACGTGCCACAACACATTGAACCAGACCAATCAGCGCCCCGATAACATCCCACAAACAGTGCAACACGTGCCACAACACATTGAACCAGACCAATCAGCGCCCCGATAACATCCCACAAACAGTGCAACACGTGCCACAACACATTGAACCTGACCAATGAGCGCCCCGATAACATCCCACAAACAGTGCAACACGTGCCACAACACATTGAACCAGACCAATCAGCGCCCCGATAACATCCCACAAACAGTGCAACACGTGCCACAACACATTGAACCAGACCAATGAGCGCCCCGATAACATCCCACAAACAGTGCAACACGTGCCACAACACATTGAACCAGACCAATGAGCGCCCCGATACCGTCCCACAAACAGTGCAACACGTGCCATTACACATTGAACCAGACCAATGAGCGCCCCGATAACATCCCACAAACAGTGCAACACGTGCCACAACACATTGAACCAGACCAATGCGCGCCCCGATACCGTCCCACAAACAGTGCAACACGTGCCACAACACATTGAACCAGACCAATGCGCGCCCCGATAACATCCCACAAACAGTGTAACACGTGCCACAACACACGTTTGCTTCGACACATTGGACTTCCGTTAATTATGTATAATCTCAGTTCATTAACTGACTAAAAATATATACACACGCTACAACCACACCACTTAGCGGCCGTATTCAGTTACAGGTAATTGAGAAAGAATTGACCATGGCCGGTCGTTGGCTGCTGGAACAATTTTCCGCCGTTTGAAATGCCATGGGAAAACATCAGTTCAAGCTGTGAATGTCAGGAATCTTCACACAGCAAAGTACAGTTAGGCTATTGGCACCACTTTCCATAATTCATGCTGAGATAATTTCGCTAAGTTATAGAGGACTCGCCTTGATGCTATCTGAACTTGCTCTCATCAAAGTGATTGCTATAATTTAAGATCAGTATACTTAATGATACTCAGATGACAAATTGTTAAATTGGAACTATTCATCAAAGTAATCACACTTCCCGTGTGGTTAATTGTCTAAATCGGTCTGTAAATTTGTCAGCAATTGATGTAAATAGTTTCAATTAAAAGGGTTTAGTACCGTTATGATTTGTCTGTTTGGCCTTTAACTTGGCACTCAGCAATATGCCAGCTATGTTACAACCCGTTTTGTAATAAAGTTGCAAAGTGTAATAATTATTACACTTTGAAACGATTCCAATGTTAGGTCAACTTTGCATTCAAAGTAGATATGATGACGACCAATCTTAACGTAAATACCGTTTGTGTTCCAAATTGAACTTATAAGCAAGTTATTGGTGCCAATTGAACACTTTCAGCATCATTCACCAAGTTTATTACACTTTGCAACTTTATTACAAAACGGGTTATTATGTGCATTTAACTTTGTAATAAGACTCTCAACCCGTTTTGTAATATTTATTACCCTTTGCAACTTTATTACAAAACGGGTTGTAACACAGCTATATGACGGCTGTCTGTAAACAAGAGGTCTGTATCGCTCACCTGGATATTTATGCAATCATCACAAAATATACATTTACTTTGAATATGTATAAAATACTGCAAGTAGTTTGTAATTTTGACTCTGTCAGCATTTAAAAGGGCTGGGTGGCAAATCTGACAGCATGAACGTGTATTTCTCTAGATACAAAAGTAGCATAAAGATCTGAACCGTTTCCATGTTATGATCCAGGATCTAAGTTTCCAGAGGCAAGGCTGGACCCCAGGGCGAATCCTGTTGGCATAAATGCATTATTCTCTTCATAACAAACAAATGTATACAATGTGTAATTTTTATTATAGGGTGGGGATAGTATCGGTTTGCATGTTATGGTCAAGGTTCTAGCCCCTATTGGAGTGCCGGACAGATGAACAGACGGGCCAGTCCTGGTAGCA